AGGAAGTTCGGTGATTTTTTTTTTCTAAATTATCTGTTTGCATAAGATAATTTTTCATGAAGAATATAAAAAATTTTATATTTTATATAAAATATTTTTTCATGAAGAATATAAAATTTGATTGTAGGAAATCTCTCACTTCAATCATCACACAGCCTAAATAGGTGAGTCTCAAAAATAAGCTAATCTTCATCTTACATCTGATTCAGTGTCCTGAAACCCTTTGGTTTAAATTTGTTAATTCTTCTCATGGCTTTTCTCATAGCAAAACCAGCTAATAACATAGCTATTATTACTTGTCAGCTGTAACTTATATCCACACTCTCACATCCCTTTTGACCATGCTTATAGAAATATTGTAAGTAAACCAAATGTATTCTTCATTATTAATTTTTAAATGTTCTCAGCAAAAATCTGGTAACGTGTAGGCTACAAGTTGATGATTTTCATATGTTTGGGGGTTTAGTCTCAAAGCTTCATATGGGTTTCTACGCTGTTTTTCTTGATCCAACTAAATATTATTCCCAGATGGGATCAGTTTTTTACCCTCTTGTTCTACTCTCCTAGTCCTGGCACTTCTAAAAGTTTCTTACTGTGGTTCCTTTCTTTTGTCTGCCACTAATGGCTATGCCTGGTTACATAACTCCTGTAACAGGTGTTGACCAATCTGAACACATTTGAGTATGGTATAGAGCTATTCTTATGGTTCATAAAAAAACTTAGAGAGAATATACCATCTGATGAATAGGGAAATTACTTCTCCCTTAAGGTTTTTCTCAGGACAGGCCTTATACAAGAATTTCAAGGATTGTGAGTGACACGGTTTAACATTGGGCTGGGCCTTTGAAATTATCCAGCATGAATTTGAAGACAACTCTGCAACTCTGCTCAGCAGCAGAGTTTTCTGTTTACTTAGTATTTCCCCATGCCAATTAGTGAAATTTTCAGCAGTTTTTTAGGTCAACTCATTTGATACTAGACTAGACAACTTTTTTTTATTTTGCAAGGAAGACTGAAGGTAGGAGTAACTAGGAAGCTAAAATAAACACAATTAAATATAAAATGCTTATAGTGATAGAATTGACCTCAGCCAATTAAAATTATTAATAGAAAAAATATGTCAATGTCAAATCTGAGCCTACTACCTCTGTTCCCACTTGGGTAATGAGGATTAGTTTATATTTCCTGACAAGAATAGATGGGAATTCACATTTCTTCCTGACCTTTGTCCCTGCTGAAACATTGAGTTAGGATCATATTAGAACATAACCAATAAGAAATATTCAGATGAATTCACAATTAAGTTTTAAGCCCCACAAAACTGAAATAAGTAGCATCTTCTTTTCAAGCTGTGAAACTTTCCCTCATTTTAGTAATAAAGAAAATGTTCAGATTATAAATTTGGAAACTTTGTTCCTAACATATCAATCATGTCAGAGACCAATCTTTAAGAAGAACAAGAAACGTATGCTGTATGTTCTCAGCATCAACCTTGACCACAATGGGAAATATTTTGTAAAACTTTGATTTTAGACCTCCAAAATTATCTCTATATGCTACTTGAATTAAGCAAGTAAAAAATAACATTTAGAATTCCATGTAAGGCACTGGTACAACGTTTGTTTACCTTGGCATCATTGTTTTTGAATGTAAGATGTAATTTAAGGCAAATAAGTCTGGTCACATATAGTTTGGTAATGCTATAATCACAAATCAGAAAGTTTGGAAATGCTCAGAAGTGTTAAGAGGTAGATTCATCATGGTTATCTGAATTGGCATTTGATCTTCTTTTCTTTCTAAATACCCCTGACATTTCTGACTCCTCTGTCTTTTCCTCAGTAAAACTGCACCACACACTGGAAAGCAAAGATACACACATTTATTTATATAATGTCAAGGGAGAGTAGGAATAAGAAGATTGGCCATAGACCCACCCAATCAGAGTCTGGGAAATGAGAACACTTGTTCCTTCAGCAGAAATGCTGACGTGCCAATGTGAATTTAGCAGGAAAAAGATTTGCCATAACTTCTAAGTGAGCAGCATTCAGAATGCTAGCTTAGATTCCTGGTATTAACTTGCCAGGTGTTTTTCAGAAAGAAAATAAATTACTATTGAGCTTAAAAATCTGAGGGTAGAACTCATTTTTCATTTTTAACCAAATGTAAAGCATCAGTTTAAAGTTAACATAAAGTTTTAAAACAAAAAGTTTGGAGTAGGGTTCCTCCAGTCCTTTATAATGTAGTACAAGTATGTTTTTTAATTTATAAAACTAGCCATTTAAATTGTATTATACTACTGAAAGACACTGTGTATGCATTCAGCTTACAACCTGGGAACCAACGCAGAGGGTTTCTGGGGTAACAGTACCCAGCTTCATACGCTCTGTCCTTTATTGCTTTCTGGTTAGTCTGCGTATTTCACATACATTAAATATTCCACAATGAACTCCACCATCTGTGCTGTAGGGTAGTTTGTATTGGTCATGTGCTCTGTCAAGTTGACAGAGGTGCAAAGCTAAATGTGTGACACTCGAAGAATATGCATATATTTGAATAATTTGACTATTTAGTCCAACAATTTGCAAAGGCGCTCTGAATGATCACACATTCTGATAACACTTCCAAGGAACCGATAGCTTCACTTAGGAGGTGGGGAGATGGAAGCAGGGTTATTTCTAGCAGGAATTCTTAAGTTCACTGAAGTCTTGTCCCTGGTACTTCACTGCGTGAACGTGGGTAAATTATTTCCTGGCAGAGTATCGGATTCTTCTTTTATAAAATGGGTAAATAATTTCTTTTAACTAGTCTTTAGAAGTTCTAAAATAGCTAATATTAGAGAATTCACTTTGTTAACTGTAAACCCCTAGGTAAATTCAACTGAGTATGTAATAATATTATATATTCAGTTCAACAGTACATTCTTGGTAACCACAAGAGGGTCCATGAAAGGAAACTGTTTATAAATCTTTCCCTTTAGCAAAATTAATGTTGGAGTCTTTAGGGAAATTCCTACAGCAGCGAGTCTCCACAATTATTAGGTCAATCGCCTTTGAGATTACAGAAAAATGCACATACACAGAAAGCTGCCTGCAGAATTTGGGTGTGGGCTTGGTGGGAGATTCCTCTGATAGTCAGTGTTGTACCCACAAGAGAGTGTTTCTCAAAGTGTGACTTCAGATTGTCTGCACCCGAATTGCTGGTGGTATTTATTAAAATTCTAATTCCTGGACCCTGCCCCACCCCTACTAAATCACAATTTCAGAAGGAGGAACCTTCATTTTTAACACTCACTCAGGTGATTTTTATGAGTTAAGTACGGTGCTGCTGTCTTGTTCTTTATTCTAAATTTTAAGGTCTGCACAAATTGGTTGAACTAATGAGAAGAAAATTCAGCTTAAAGCAGGAACATAGGTAGACGGTTGACAGAGTTCATCAAATGGCTAATTGAAAATGTCCTCTGGACCCCAGCTATATAAGTTCTCTCGAAGGGTCTTGACTACAGGCAAATGAGAACCCGAAAAGCTATTTGCTCTTTTGCTGCTGGCAGTGGTAGGGGTGAAGGGGAGGGGAGGATTAACGGAGCCGGTTCTGCCCCCACCCTCGAATCCCCTACCCCGACTCTGATTAAAGCAGAAGACTTTATCTTTACTGCTCTGGTTCGTTATTAAAAGGGTTAGCTTATATGTGTGTGTTTGCTGGGGCTGGAAGTGAAAACATCTGCAAAAGCATGCAATGCCCTGGAACGGAACTCTTCTAATAAAAGATGTATCATTTTAAATGCGCTGAATTTTGATTCTGGTAATTCGTGCACTAGAGTGTCTATTTCGAGGCAGCGGAGGTATCATATGACAGCGCACGTCAAGGCACCGTGGAGCCCTCTCGTGGACTCCCACCCACTTTCCCATTCACCGCGGAGAGGGCTGCTCGCGCTGCCGCTCCCCCCGGCGAGCTAGCATGAAATCTCCCTGCCTCTGCCGAGATCAAATGGAGCTCCTCGCTGATGGGGTGCGAGTATTACCTCCGCCATGCAATTTCCACTATCAATAATTTAACTTCTTTGCTGCAGAACAGAAGGAGTACATACCGGGCACCAAAGACTCGCGCCCCCTCCCCTCTTTAATTAAGCGAAGGGAACGTGAAAAAATAATAGAGTCTGGGAGTTTGGGGGCCGAAGTCTTTCCCAGAGCAGCTGCCTTGATGGTTACTTTGACAAGTAGTGACTGAAAAGGTGGGTTTGTTTTCTTTCTCTTTCCGTTTTTCTGTTTGGTCTGCTAGAAAGCGTGTGGCTTTAGCGAGGGCTGTCATTGCCTGGGCTTCCTGGCTGGAACAAGTAACTTGGTGTAACGTTATCTGGGGGCGTTCATCAATAAAAAATGCCGTTATTATCTTGATTGAATTCCTATTAGGCAAACTCCAGAGAGGTCAGTGCGCGAACTCTTTAAGCCGGCGTGTTGAAGGCAGCGGAGTAAACCAAGAGCCCCCATGCTCTGTGCGATTTCATTGTGTGCTCGCGGTCGCAAGCTCCGTGGTGCGGGAAGGTGCGGGAAGGTGTGTCTGTGGCCCGGGAAACGCACGCCCTCTCCCAGAGAACTTGGGTGCTGGGATGCGGAGGAAGGGGAGAGTTGAAGGCCAGGGGAGTGAGACCTCGGGGCGTCCGATTCTCACTCGCTCCCTCCCACCCCAGCGCGCACAGCCCGGGTTTCCGCAGGGGGCGCGGGACGCGGGGTTCCCTGGGTCTGGGGCTGCAACACCCCTCGAAGCCTCGGGCGTCCCGCCCAAGGCGCCCCGGGAGGGCACAGGGCTCGCGGGACGATGTCGCGGGACCCCAGGGAAGGATGGGGGGTACAGGGCCCGGGGAAACGGGAAGTCCCGGGCGCCCCTCGGTCCCCCGGGGGCTGAGCCTGGGCGAGGAAAAGGCGCGGCGTTCCCTTTAAGCGTCCGCCCCGAACGGGTATCGGTAGCGCGGGCGAGACGGGGGAGGGGGGCGGGGGGGCGGCGCCGTCTGACCAATGGAAGCTCAACCGAAGAGCTAAATAATGTCTGACCCGGGCGCAAGGCGCAGCCTGGAGCTCCGGGTCCCCGCCGCCGCCGCAGCGCCGGGGAACACCCGCCGGCTCGCCGTCCCGCGCACCCCGTCGCTCCTCGGGCTCCCGGGCCGGACCGAGGAGCCAGCCCGGTGCGCCCCCCACCTCCTGCTTGGGGGGCTTTGATGAGATATTGAATGCAGCTGCCACCGCTGCTGTGGGGCCGGCGGGGAGCAGCACCGCGACGGGGACCGGGGCTGGGCGCTGGAGCCAGAATCGGAACCACGATGTGACTCCGCCGCCGGGGACCCGTGAGCTTTGTGTGGACCCCGAGGTAGGCGAGCGCCGGGCGTGGGTCTTGGCGCGGGAGCCGCCCGTCTGCGGGAGAAAGTTGACTGGGGACCCCTAAAGTTGTGGGACGAGGCCAGGCTCCTTCTTACTCCCCTCTGGGAGAAGAGAGGATTTGGAGTTGCTCCTAGGGAGCTTTCTCCCAAATCCCACGACCCAGAGGGTCAACCGGCAGCACCTGGGGAAAAGGGACCCGGGGAAGCCACGAAGTAGAGGACATAGGGCCAGGAGGAGACCCAAAGCTGCGTGGTGGGAGCAAAGACGGCGCCCCAAGTATCCCCCGCAGCCCTACCCCAGCCCAGGAGGGGTCGAGAGACACTTGGGGACCCAGAGCTGTCGGGGTCCCTGACTCAGGAGGGTGCTGGGGCTGGGCTACGAATCATTCCAGGGGTAGGGTGGTCCCCGCGCCGATTTGTGGGGGTAGTGGGGAGGGAAGCTTGCGCCCTCAGCCCGCACCCCGTCCCGGGGCTGCACACGGTTACCTGCTCCCCAGGAGTTGAGTCTGAAGTGGACTTACAAATCCGAAGCCTACGTAGCTTGGAAAAGTTGGGAGGCGGAATTCCTACCGCTGAGACCTAGAAGGGTCTGCGAGACTCCGGGGCCGGCCGAACCCACGCCTCTCCCCATCTTGCACCCCTCTTCTGAAGCGCCCTCCAGGGAAGTCAGAGTTTTGACTTTCGGGGAGTGGGTGGATGTCAGTGGGGGATTCCTAACTCGGGTTAGTCTCTGGGGATGTGAGTGAGTGAGTTGCGCCTGGAAAGAAATAGCTGAGGATTAGGGGCTCTGTGCCTGACGGGCAAGAAGGGGAGATTACAGACTAGGGGCGTCCCTAAGGAAGAAGTCTCGGGGCTGCGGGGTGAACTGGAGGATGTAGTGTTTGTGTGTTGGGGGTGGAGCGGGGATGAGGGACCGAGGTGGAGGGGAGGCGAGGAGGAGGAGGGGACCCGGAGAGCGAAGCTAGGGAAGGTAGAGGGTGCCCTCTGCTGGCCATGCTGCCAAGAGCCGCTGCAGGGGGCGGGAGGCTGGGGGTGGGGAAGTGGGAAGGGAAGGTTTTGCGGGATCCCTTAGAGAGCTGGTAGGAGGGACTTGTTGAATGGTGCTGCCGACTCCAGCTCGGTGGGGCGTGCGACTCGTCGTCAGTGAATTTTGACTCGCCGTTCCCGTTTGGCTCATTTGCAAAAGTTTTCCTCGCGCTGGGGGAGCTTTGATAAGCCTCGACTGGTGGTGTGTTAGGGTTTCTGGAATCTTATTTTAAGGTCCACTAGGTATCTTGCACTTACTTCTCAATGTCAGTTGCAACCAAAGAACATTTTCCGACAAGCATGCAGGAATGTTCTTGGCCAGAAGCGAAGAAAAGCATATTTCTGAGTTTATTAATCTTCCTAGTACAGTTATCTTTTAAACCAAAGTAATACGTAATTGCGAACGTTGATTTTCTAACTGCATATAAAAGGTGATATGCTATGAAATGAGACCCCTCCCTACTGTCTCAACTTCCTGCAAAAACTCTCTCCCCTCTTCATTATTATCGAAAAACCTATTTTTATATGAGTTTGTTGTAAGGTCAAAAGCCATTTTGGTCTTACAATTTGATATGTCTTTTTTACATTTTAATTTATTGAGGCATAATTACAGATTTAATTTGAACGTGTGTGCCTTCAGTGCTTACCTCATGCAACGTAATTTTTAGGTTGGAGATTTCTGATGTTATGACATGTAGCACTTCAAGGCATTACACATAATAGGTAATATAGCATGTTGAAATTATACTACAAAGTTTTGACCTTGGAAACGGCACCTTTTAAAAACAATTACTAAACTCCTGTTCCTGTTCCCTGGTTTTGCAGATGCCTTGCTTAAGACTTTTTTTTCCCCCCCTTTTCTTTTTGGTAAATTTATCTCTGGGCTAGCAGGAGAGGTAAGAGAAAGGAAAGAGACACTTGTCGAAATGTAACCATAACCTTTACTGGAATTTAAAACACGTTGGTCACCATTACTGGAATTCCAGGGCCATAAAGTCGTTGTCTTTTATTTTTCCTTCTACTTCATTTTGTAAAATGTGATAAATGTTGGTAAATATAGACCAGTAAGTATTCTGACACAAAAAGCATTATGTATGTGGAGCTATTTTATTACAGAACATTTTCTATTTATAAATGATATAAGCAGAAAGAAATGATTTCCAGATAAACAAGGCTTACGTACATGTTTTGAGGCTTTAGAACATTGCAGACACACTTAGACATTACATTTTTTTAAAGCAAAATAATAAATTTTCACATACCTTTGAAGTCTTTCATAGCCCATTCAGAGCTAAGTTAGTAGCTGGAAGTTTTGTTTATTTTAAGGTGATATTTTAAAGCCATTTAAGATGTATAGTAGGTCAACATTGGTGTATCCAGAAAATAAAGCATTTAGGAAATCTGTTTCAGAGTGTATTCTCAATGTGTGTAACTTTTACTTGCAAACCAAAGGAACCAAGAAAGTCATCATTTGCCTAAAATGCAGTCATCACCTCAAATGATTCATTTACACTATGTGAGTTAATTGCCTTAATCTCCTAAATGGCGAAAGAGGGAATTAAGGTCCTGTGGTATTTCTTGTTCATTTTGACTCACAAGGAGGGGGAAATCCTGTACAAAAAGCAAATTTCTAAAATCCTGGCTCAAAGTCCTTGGGTTTGCTTTTTAAAAGGGGCACCATGAGAATTAAGCTGTTCTCTTCTTTGTGAAATCTTTAAGAGTATCAGCTTTTCAATAGTCAAAATGTGGATGATTGATAATCTCATTTCTTTCTCATGGTTTGTAGTTCAGCACAGCGTGAGCTGGGCACGCCCACCTGATAGTATAGCAAAGAACTTGTCTACATTCTTTTTACATTCATCTTCTAAAACCTGTAGCTAGCGCGCGCTCTCTCTCTTTGTGTGTGTGTGTGTTTGTGTGTGTGTGTGTGTGTGTGTGTGTGTGAGAGAGAGAGAGAGAGAGAGAGAGAGAGAGAGAGAGAGAGAGAGAGAAACTGTGAACTGTGAGATATAACAGCCAGCAGCTTTGGGTCTCAATCATAGATTTAATCTTTAAAAAAGTGAAGATTTACAGATTGGAAAGGTCATGTTCAAGTAGTTTATTAACATTTTGAGATGTAGGAAATTAATATTGGAGTAGAGAAGAAAAATTTCAGACTTCTTGAATAAAAACAGCATAGAGAGTGGATGATAGCTAAACTCTGAATATCTTATGAGAAGAAAGGCACTCCCATTTCAGGTGCCCATAATATGGATTTGATTTTAGTGATTAAAACGTTAATTTTCAACTTGTATCTCTCTGTGTGCAAGAGTTGAATTTGTGTAAGGGGGCTCGCCTATGCAACAAAAGTGAATATGTCCCTTTTATAAGGTAATTGCTAACTTGTCACAACTTGTTTTCAAACAATTGTTATAGAGCACTCAGTTTCCACTAATTGCAAAATTGCTGCTTAATTGAAGGACTCTCAGCCATCTAGTACAGCCATTCAGCCACTGGCAGGCTCTGTGATCTCAAGCTGTGAACTGCATTTTAAAGTGGAATCATGGAGAGAATTCTGTGGAATTCTAGGTTTTAAGTGCTGGCTGTTGTTCAATGGAAGAAGAAATCATTTGAACAAGAATCACATCAAATAGTGTTGTGATAAATTTTCTTTATTAGGATGAATAACATGCACAGATGGGCTTCAAAAGTGAATGAGCAAACTTATTGGTTACACTCTGCATCCATTTACTCTATTTAGTATGGAGTAATGTTAAGCAATAAATGATGTTGGCAAATGAAATCCATATGTCATTTGCACGTGGGATTTAAACCTAGGAAACATAGCGTGTCTTTGGCTTAGTCCTGTGTGTCCTAAAAGTCCTCTTAAACTTCTTCTTAAGGCATAGAATTATTTAATCCTAAATAATTTTATACTTAAATGCATCACTGGATTTCCAGAGTATGTACACTAAAAAGACTTAGAAAGGTCATGGACCTAATTATTGAGTATATGGAATCATTATTGATGGCAGATGCAAAACAATGGAGCTCACTAATGTACTGACATTGAAAACCTTTTGCAGGGGCGGAAATCGGGAGTGGTAAATGGGTGTGTTCTCTAAGTGGGACAGGAAGGTATTCTCTTTTCTGTAGAAAAATATGAGTGTCTGGTCAGATAAGTGTGGAAGCTTTCATTTAAGTATTTAAGTTCAAGTACAAGCTCTGGGGCACATGTGTTCTTGGTGAGACAAATCTGATCAAATAAACTGGATGTTAAGAAGTGGCTCATTGCCCTGATGTCTCATTTATAGATTGATGTTTGAAGATGGATTGCATTAGGTGGGTTAGGGGGCTGGGTATGGGACAGGAGAACGATTGGAGGGAAGAAAAGTAAATTTACAAGCTTTAGTGACAGCCATAATAGAGTAAAAGTTTATTTCCAGAGAGCCTAGAGAGTAACGAATGTTATATAGTTTTCCCCAAAGGTTCACTTGAAAGAACTTTTCATTGGTTGTCATGGTAGTAATGTCCTGATTTTGAAATCTCCCAGAACCTAGTAGCTCTTAAACATGCTTTCATCTTGGTTCCTTTGGTCTGACGGGAACTTTATGATGACCCTCTGTGTTTTTGACATGCCTCTGCATTTTTGGAGAGAGGAGGTCAGGCAAGGGAGGATTTCTTAAATCTAAGACACAATATAGTAAGGAAACATAAAATTATACGATAAAATCACTGAACTTCAAATTGGCTTATTGAAATAAAATCTAGAAGGCAACCTATCATTTAATTAAAACTAGCTTATATATATTAAAACTTATATAATGGGAATTCAAAGAAAATAAACGGGCAGTTTCAAGTAATTTAAGCAACTCACCAAAAATTGAAGTAATAGTGCCACCTAGAGAACAAAATCACCAGCTTTACCAGTCAAATGGCTTATTTCCATATGAACCATTTTTCTAATGCTACAGTTGCTAGGATT